CGGAGCCTTGTTTGGTACCACATGCTTTCATGGCGGCAAGTGCGAGCCCAAGCAGATCGACTTTGTCGGAATTGGAGGGCGTCGTCCGCGAGGCTCGCGCGACTGCCAGCCTCGCCGCTGCTTAGTCAGGAAGAGTGGCCACTGCCCGCTAGTTTTTCTGTTCGCTGCTGCGCAAGTCGACAAGGCTGGAAACTGATGGGCCACTCTTGTGCTGGACAGGTTGAGGATCAGTCTGGAATGGAAGCTCGCCCGGGTGTCGAGTGCCCGCTCAGCGACGTCAGTTTTCGCTTCTATAGCGACGAGCAGTTCGAGAAATATTCGACATGCCACGCCTCGCGCGGCTGGGGTTCCGTTGTTTTTCGAGACCCCCTGGGCGTCCATTGAATCTTGGATCTTTTGATCCCCGAGCCGACCTGATTTTCCAGAGCAGCAGTTCGGTTTGTCGATTGCTTTCCGAGACGGAGCGCCTGGGAGGCGTCGGGCACTCCAGCGGCGCCACGGCGCTTCGAGATGGCTTTGCGGTTGCTGGGCCCGCGCTTGCCGACAGGCGCGGCGCCCGTCCCCGAGGCCGCCGCGCTCGACATAGCCCTCGGCTCGACTTGTGTCTTGTGGACCTTGGAGAACAAGTTCTGGGCCAAGAAGAGCCTCGCCCTATCATTCCTGGTTCGGTGCGCCTGGGAGTTGGTCCAGGTAGACTTACCGTATATGTATATAGACACATGCACACACATATATATATATACACATATATATATATATGTATATATATGTATCCTGGATCAGGGGGCGCGCGGGGTCAAGAGCAACGCTGTGGCGGACAGTCTGGCGAAAGCTGGAGGCCGACTTGACCAGGGGCCCGAGGGCGGCTTCTTGCGGGCCCAGTGCCGACCTTGCCCGAATCCCAACCTGGGCGCTTAGCTTTGCTTTCGCAGCTGCCGTCTCACCGCGGATGCCCCGCCGAATGGGGCTCCGCTCTGCCGTCGCTGCGCGGCCCCGCAGCAGGGGCCTAGACTATTCAGTTGTCATTTGGCGCGCCCCGCTGGACGAACCTCGCGCTGCCCGGCGCCGCCCGCCGCGCGGCAGCGCATTGGGCGCTCCGCTACCCGGGGAAGAGGTCGCCCGTCGGGGCCGCCAGGGGCCGCCGCTGCTTTCTCTGCCGGGATATTTCGCGTCCACGGTCCGAGTCGCGGCCGCTGCCCGCGGCTCGAAGGCTTCCTGGGGGCCCCCGCGCGCATCGAAGGAGCGCCCTTCGATGTGCTTGAGCGACCTCGGCGACCTCAGCAGCGCGCCGCTGTCTCGCCGGCATTGTGCTGTGCGCCGAGGGTTTCAAGTGCGCGGGGTGGCGGCCGCCGCCCCGCGCCTCTCGGCGGGGCGGGCCCTGGAGCTCCGGGAGCCGCTGTTCTCTCAGGGGGAGCAGGAGGAGGAGGAGGAGGAGGAGGAGGATGAGGAGGAGGAGGAGGAGGGGGCCTGCGCGGAGCAGATGACCACCCGCGGCAGGCGCATGTCACGCCGCGCCGCGAGAAAAGCGCGCCGCGCCTGCGTCCTCGCGGCAGCTCGGCCGCGCGAGCGCCGCCAGGGGCAGGCCGAATTGCTTTCGCCAGGACTCGCGCCGACAAGGCGCGCAACTGGAGCACGCTTTGCACTACGAGGGGCCCCTGAGGCTCCGAGCCTTCCTGACGGGTTTCCTCGACGGCGCGGTTGGGGAGTTCGTTAAGTTGCGCGACAAGAGCGGTTCGAGATGCCTCTGGAACCCGAAGACTTGGCGATCCTGGGGCACTTGACCAAGAGAAGGAAGCCGACCTCGCCATTCAACGCCTACCACTGCTCGTGTTTGCCGACAGCGTTTAAAACGTGTCCGAGACCACTCTGCGTGCGCTGAGCAGCGCGTGGGATGAGTGGCATTGAATCTTTCGGAGCAGGCACTCGCGCGCGGCGTTGCTCGAGGATTCCCGCTGGGCGACCGCGGTGCTGTCCTGCCAGGTTCGCTTCGCATTGCTGGCGGTCTTGCGCCGCGACTCCCGGTAGGAGGACGAGTCGGGATGCTGGGCGCTTGGGTCACCGTAGATAACTGCGCGGGGGGGCGGAGGAGGAGAAGGAGGGGGAGGAGGAGGAGGGGCAGGGACAGGAGGAGGAGGAGGAGAGGAGGAGGAGGGGCAGGGACAGGAGGAGGAGAGGGAGGGAGGAGGAGGAGGAGGGAGGAGGAGGAGGAGGAGGAGGAGGAGAGAGGAGGGGAGGAGAGGAGAGGAGGGAGGAGAGGAGGGAGGAGGAGGAGGAGGAGGAGGGAGGAGGAGGAGGAGGAGGAGGAGCAGGAGGAGAAGGAGGAGGAGGAGGAAGAGATGGAGGAGGAGGAGGCCAGGAACGGGGCACGGAGGGCGCGGCGGCGGCCCACCGGCCCGCGCGGCCCCGCAGGGGGCGCGACTCCGCCGAGTGGTCGACCGAGGTCCGCGTGGGTGGCTTCCAGGCCGGCCAGCCAGGGGGGAAGACGTCCCAGAGCGTACAGTGCCGTTTTTAATACATGCTCCGCGTGCGGATCATGTATGAACAATGCAGGGATTTAGTATTAAAAAAACAACGATGAGTTCATGCATTGATTTATTAGTAAATTAATCATGTATGAAAATCCAATATTTTTGACAAACCCGTGTGTTAAAAACTGCCCTGTAGTGGGCCCTGGAAACGACAGGGCCGTTTTTTTACTGGTTCCGTTTTGCCGTTTTTGTTGCCGTTTCCGACGCCGTTTTTTTTACAGGTGCCGTCGCGCCGTTTTTTGACCGGTTCCGGCTCCGGTTCCAATCCTGGAGCCGTTTTTTGTGCCGTTTCCGGTAGCCGTTTTCTTGCCTTTTCCATTTTCAAGGGACATTTTTGGGAAACGGTGCAAAAGCGGCCCTGCCGTTTCTGGGGCCCACAAAGTCACAGAGATCCAACGGATGGAAACATCGAACAGCAAGGCGGAGGTTTCCTCGCAGCTCTGGGCTTCGAGAGGAGCCCTCGGTGGGCCCCCCAGGGCCGTCCACAGACGATTCGGGAACAGGTCGAGACTTCTGGGGGGCCCCGTATGGAGAAGATTCGCGGCCTCCCAGATGGGGTCGGAGGACCGCTCCGCATCGCCGATGCCTCGACGATGCGGCTCGATGTGGAGCCCGCGTCTCCCCACGCCGAGGTCGGCGATGCGTCGCCGATGCGTCGCCGAGGCATCGCAGATGCATTGGCGATGCGGCGCGATCCTTCGACCCCATCTGCTCGGACCCCAACTGGGAGGGTTCCTAAGGACGTCCCAGAGATCCAACGGACTGAAGAAGCAGGGCGGAGGTATGTCGCAGCTCTGGGCCTCTGGAGGGGCCCTCGCTGGGCCCTGGGGCCGTCCAGAAACGATTCAGAATGAAGAACCGGTCTGGGGGAACGGGTCGAGACTTCTGGGGTGCCCCGTGCTCTGGGTTTCTGAATATCGGGGGCGGCAAAGAGGGGGGGGGATGACTAGGGGGGGGTGGATCTCATGGCGTGGGCCATGATATTTCCCCAGATCTCATGGCGCCTCTTCTTGTTTCATTGCGTCCCTGGCCCCCCCGCTGGGCCGCGCACATGCCGCCGGTCATGATTTGCACCCCCCCCCTCTTGGACACCCCCCTCTTGGCCGCTCCCGATAATAAGCGTGGGGGGTACCCCCCCCGACGGGGGTCAACCTCGCCTCGTCGTCGCGCCGCGACGCGGGTCGGAGGGCCTTGGGCGTGCGGTGGCTGCCCGCGACGGGAGTCGATGTGGGGCCGTCGGCGGGGGTGACGCCCCCCCGACGCCTATTAAGAAACTCTGAGTATGCAGAAAATCGCGACTTCGGGTCTCTGGGGCACCGATGCCGCCGCATGTTCCTCGCTGTCGCCTGGCTGGGCCTCCCGCGGGACACCCGCGCCGCGCCACTTCTGGGCTCGCCCCGGGAGTCCTGGTCAGGACGCGCCCCGCGAGAGAGGTCCGGGGAGCACAGTGGAGGCGCCAAGAAACACTCTGCTCGCCTCGAGGGTGCCCTCTCCTCCTCCTGCTCCTCCTCCTCTTCCTCCTCCTCCTCCTCCCTCCTTCCTCCTCCTCCTCCTCTGCCTCCTCCTCTGACGCCTCTCTCGCGTAATGTTTACTGCTTTGCCGCTTCCTGCCATGCTGGCGCCTCGGCGCCCTCTCCCGGCGCGCCCTCACGGCGCCGCGCCGCGCGGAGCCGAGCCCGAGCCCGAGTCCAGACCCAGACATGCGACTTCCTGATCGCATCATCTTCATCATCTTCTCCTCTTCGTCGTCCTTCCCCCTCCCTCCTGTGCTGGCACGCGTTTGGCGTGTCTCGTGTTGTCCTTGGCGCATGTTTGGCGCTTCAGCTCTCCCGCGCTCTTGCACGCATTTGGCGTGTCTGCCCAACGCGACCAGACGGACGCAATGCTTAGTGGTGGTGGGTGGGGCGTCCCCGGAATTCCCGACCCTTTGCCCGTGGACCGGCTTCTCCTCCCGAGTCGTTCTTTGACGGCCTCGCGAGGCCCGGCGAGGGCCCCCCCCGAGGGCCCGAAATGAGCCAGAAACCTGCCGTCCAGATTTTTGTTACGACGCGATCCTGTCTGGGGATATATCTCAGGAGGGGACAAAAACACACAGACACAATTCACGATGCATCGCCGATACCCCAGAACATATGGGAAAACATTGGACGTGGGGAGGAAGACACAAAAACCCTGAGACTATGGGAAAAGATCGGGAATATGTTTCTTTGTGTGTGTTTGTTTGTGTGGCCCAGGGCCCCTTCAGTATCATCGTACAGCTTCGTTCTCGAGCGCCACCGTGCCCCGCCCAGCGCACCAGCTCAGCGAGCCGGCCCGCCGGCGGCACCTGGCGCGGCCGCCGCCACCCGCCGTGCCTGCCTCCCGCCCGCCCGGGGGCCGGCCGAGGCCGTCCACTGCGCCAGCACGCTCTTCAGGCCAGGCGCCGCCGCCGCCGCGGCCGCGGGCGAGGATCCCAAACATCGGGCGCCTCGA